CTCTGATGCATAACAAGATTGCAAAGACCATGGCCTGTATCAGGTGCACCTTAGTCTGCAGAGAGACACCGTTGCTCTTGAGTACTTTAGAGAAGTCCCTAACAGCAGACTTTCCCATCGCAATATGGTTTTTTATTTCCTGGCCGCTGGTGCCAAGAGTGTTGACCGTGGAGTCAAGCAAACTGAAGCTGTGAACAATCTCAATCTCTTCGCCATCCATCCTGATGCTGCCAATTGGTGGGTTTGAACTACTAACATTTCAGTTAGCAAGTAAGAGCGTAATCAGTGTGCCACCAGGATTCCAACATTCTAATCTAGAGAGGGGTTGCAGGAGCACTGCCATTTGTGACACTGACAGCAGTTACTGATTCACTGGGCTCCCTGAAAGGGTGTGTTCAAACGCATGCTGTATTTGCGAAGGTGGCCGGGTTTAGAAATAAGGCATGTCTTGACCCTGATTTCATTTAAGCAGTGCTTTATCCAAGGGAAGGAGAGCCACAGAAATATTCACATATAGACGGAAGGCACCCCTTGTGACAACGGAGCAGGACATATCTATAATTAGCAAAGGAAAGCCAAGGACTACGGGCAGTCCCTAGAAACTGGGGGAGAGGCAACAATTCCGCAGAAACCCTGTAAGGAGTCAACCCACCCAACACCTTGAAGCCAGACTCAGAGTACCCATAACCGTGGGGCCCTTGGTTCTGCTTAGAAATCCACTCCTTGGGGATATTTTATCACAGTGCAAGGAAAGGAAGCAGAGGCACACGTTGAATGACATTGCTGGGTAGCCTAAGGAGTGGGGAGGTAAGAGACGCTCCATTTATGAGCCAGAAACCGAACATAAGCTAATACTGCTATTTGGGTTTATGCCTGATATATACTAACCTGAGCCCCTTCTCCCCCATCTTCCCTGTCACCTACGCTCACCTCATCCCTGGGGAACCCCGGCTCTGGGAAGAGGACCTGGGAGGGATCATGTTTTCAGTACTAGGCTGTCTCGTATTTCCTCCACACCTGTCCCTCTTTGATGGTGCTTCTCCTGTCCTCCCCCTTCACATCCAACTGATCACTGAGTTCTGTGAGTCTATTTCATAAATCTGTAATCGCATTATTCACTGATGAAAGACGTAAGTAATGGGGTGGTGTAGGGGAAGGAGGGGGAGCGGCATTGAACTTCTGATAGGGATGACGGGAAGATTAGGAATATGATGCATGATTAACACGGAGAACTTACCGAACTATATATGTTATGGGCCTTCAAGTCGCCTGCAACTCATAGCGGCCCTATGTACAACAGCTCTAAACCCTGCCCTATCCTGAATCAGTCTACCTGACTCCAACACACCTAATCCCATTGCCCTAGGTATCAATTGTCAATCCATCTCTTCCGGGGTCTTCCTCTCCACCCTTCCAATCATGATGTCCTTCTCCAAGGACTGTTGTTGTTGTTATGTGCC